CTCTCTCTCTCTCTCTCTCTCTCTCTCTCTCTCTCTCTCTCTCACACACACACACACACACACACACACACACACACACACACACACACACGTGTATAGTACAGTTATTGTACTCTAACGCCTGGGAGATTTGCTTGGCATCCCAAACACACATGGTCACTATCTGTGAGGACTTGGTCACTTCCCCTGCTAAGTCTTGCTCTTTTTCTCCTATAAAATGGGAGCCGTGATCTCCTGCCTCACTGAAGAAGAGCAAGACAGCAAGCATGTGGAAGCGGGAGTCTCTGAAGGGGAGAAGATCTGGTAAATACAAACAGTGGGTCAGTACCCCACCTCAGATGCTTCCAGCTTGGCGCTGTGGATATGGAGGAGAGGGGAGGGTAACACGATGAGACCTAGGGACTTGTGCAAACGGCAGAGTAAAAAGTCAGTGGATGTACTTTCCATCTTTAAAAAGTGAAAAACAAAAAGAAAGGGCATGTGCTGTCCCAAACCTTGGACTAAATAGCCTGACTGGTCATTGAACACTGAGAAGCAGGAAGGCGATCTCTATCTATACTGTCAAGAATGAACTATATGACCTCTAAGCCAGAAAGGCAGGGGTGGGAGCAGGGAGGGATAGAAAGACCCTATGTAGCTTTGGAGCCTGTCCTGGACTCACTCTGTAGAGCAGGCTGGCCTCGGAACTCACAAAGATCCACCTACCTCTGTCTCCCGAGTGCTGGAATTAAAGGCATTCACCACTACCGCCCGGCTAGTCTATCATTCTTAAATTGCATTCTTCTTATTATTACACTGATCATCTCTCCGTGTGGATTGTGAATTTTGTTGTTGCTATGGCTGTTTGTTTGTTTGAGATAGTCTCAGGATACCAGGCTGGCCTCAAACTTGATATGTAACCAAGGGCAACAGTGAACTACTGGTCCTATGTCTTTTTTTAAAAATCTATTTATTTATTTATTTATTTATTTATTTATTTATTTATTTATTTATTTATTTATTTCCAAGACAAGGCTTCTCTGTGTAGCTCTCGCTGTCCTGGAACTTGTTCTGTAGACCAGGCTAGCCTCAAACTCAGAGGCCAGGCTTGCTTCTGCTTGGAGTGCTGGGACCAAAGGTGTGCGCCACCACCACCCAGCAATCCTCCTATTTCTGCCTCCCGAAGGGCTGTTTTACAGGTATGTGCCACCACACCAGGCTTATATTGGACTTTTATTCTTATGAGTACACTTTTTTCATTTGTTTAAAGATGTGTTTCTATGTTCTGGATATCAGCCCTGTCTTATTTTATATGCAGTGAGTCGCGCTCATCCACGGGAGTTATGTAGTTATGTACTATAAAGTCCCCACAAACACTGAGTTTAGCAAATACTAAAACACGGCTAAGCCAGGCTTGGTGACAACTTGGGGTTGAGGGAGGAGGGTCAGGAGGTCAGGGTTATCCTTGGCTACATAGTGAGTTCCAGGCTAGCCTGGGCTGTATGAGACGCTTTCTTCTAGGGAGAATATAAGATGAGGTTTCTGTGTGTCTTTGGCCATGACATTTTTGACAAACAATCAATACTTAACTTTCATGTGCCGTTGATTAAAGACACCCGATTTAATATGTGTTTCTTTTAAAAATGTTTATTTTAGCTGGGCGGTGGTGGCACACGCCTTTAATCCCAGCACTCGGGAGGCAGAGCCAGATGGATTTCTGTGAGTTTGAGGTCAGCCTGGTCTACAGAGTGAGTTCCAGGACAGGCTCCAAAGCTACACAGAGAAACCCCATCTTGAAAAACAAAAACAAAAACAAAAAAGTTTATTTTATCCTTATGTGTATGGGTGTTTTGCCTGAATGTATGTCTATGAACCATGTGCATGCCAGGTGTTCTAGAAGACCTGAAGAGGGTATTGATTCCCCTGGAACTGAAGTTAAAAACAGTTGTGAGCTGCCATCTGGGTGCTGGGAAATCTAGCCCAGGTCCTCTGGAAGAGCAGCCAGTACTCTTAATGCTGAGCCATCTCTCTAGACCCGTGATTTAATATATATTTTTGATTTATTAACATTTAACTCAAATCCTCATACCAGACATTTAGCACCCTGTGTTCTTTACAAAGCAAGTATTGATTTCGAGGCTACAAGTACATTTTAGTAAGTAAGCAAGTTCAAAAATATACAACCTGAGAATAGGATCGCTATGAGGATAGATGCTTGTGCACACACACAAAATCTTTGCAGCCCATCATTGTTTTTTTTTTAAACTTTACCTATGAGGTCTTATATCATTGATATTGGTCAGCTTGTTCTTCGGCTCAGGTTTTTTCCTATTCCCGACTCACAGGGAGCCAGATGAACCCTTCCTCTCTCAACCGTCTTCAGGATCCCAGAAGGGTTTAGGGCTGTTGCTTGTTGCCTTTTTTAAGTTGGAGAATTAATCTCTTACAAATGGTAGCATCCAGCGCTCTCCGTCTTCCTCTGAGACTGAGGAATTACCCACGTGCCCTTCTACCTGCCCGATGCTCGCCGCCTTTGTGTCTGCTGCTTGAGTTCCTCCCCGACCTCGCTGGCCCTCGTCCTTGTGGCACCCCCAGGGGTGACCCCGCTACTGCACAGGTCTCAGTGAGTCCTGCCCACACCTGCACCCACTCTCTACCCATCCTGGCTTCCCGCCTCTGTTTCCCTCATCATTCTCTTCACCGACTTAACACTAATTACAGTTGGTATAGTTGGTCTCAGGCAGTAATGTATTTACACATTGGCACAGCCCGTGTTTAGTGGGCAGAAGAGCGTGACTCTGGGAGGTAAGGCTGGACCTGATTTCGTTTGTCAGTCGGGATTCCTTGAGTAAGTCTCCAGCCTTCTCTCCACCCTGATTCTTGAGCCTGTGAAGTGAGACGACACCCACCTTGGCCACTGCTCACTCAACTGTACTGAGAACTTGGCTAGCACGGGCTAGGATCTTTCAAGGTTCCTCGTCAGAGGCTATAAAATGTGCTGTATGGACTTAGGAAAAGACAACACTTTCTTGGTTGTCCCCTTTGAGGTTCTCAATGGCCAGGGCTCATGAAGGAATGGGTGGTCAGAAAAACAGATTATGAAAAATAAAATCTTAGCTGGGCGGTGGTGGCGCACGCCTTTGATCCCAGCACTAGGGAGGCAGAGGCAGGTGGATCTCTGTGAGTTCGAGGCCAGCCTGGTCTACTGATTGAGTTCCAGGAAAGGCGCAAAGCTACACAGAGAAACCCTGTCTCGGAAAAAAATGAAAAATAAAATCTTATATTCGGTTTCTGATTAAATGTTAATTTTTGAGAAACGGCAAGATTGTCTTAGTAGCTCTGTTTTGTTTGGGAGAATATGGAAATCAGTTTGCATCCCCTAAGGCTAGAATGAAAACACCAGCTTAGAAAAATCCATCCATGCGTAAACTCTGTGAGAATGCAGAGCTGATGATGGCAGCAGAGACTCCTGAGGACTGAGCACACAAGTCTGGGTCTGAAATGTTCAGTTCACAGACCTCCTGAGAAATGTGAATGTTCCAGAACAGTCAGAAGGTGAGTGTTCTAGATCTCATTTCTCCCTTTCCTTTCTTTTCCTGTCTTCCTTTATCTCCCCCTCCCCCACCTGGTCTCACTCTGTAGACCAGGCTGGCTCAGTCTCAAAGATCTGCCTGCTTCTGCCTCCTAAATGCTGGCATTAAAAGGATGCTCTCACGCCGGGGTGGTGGTGGCGCACGCCTTTAATCCCAGCACTTGGGAGGCAGAGGCAGGTGGATCTCTGTGAGTTCCGAGGCCAGCCTGAGCTACAGAGTGAGTTCCCGGAAAGGTTCCAAAGCTACATAGAGAAACCCTGTCTCAAAAACAAAACAAAACAAAAACAAACAACCAAAAAATTAAAATAAAAATAAAAACAAACAACCACGAAAAGTACGCACTCCCACACCCGGACCCCCTCCCCCACTAAAAGGACACCACGTAGCTTCTTTCTTACCTGTTGTCTGTAGGCTTAAGCCTGGGTCCAGCTTTGTGTGGGGCTTTGAGCTGATGAACAGAAAGCAGAGCACACACACAGTGACAATGAAGGCCAGAAGGACCACTGCTGCTGTGGAGAGTCCCACAAGAGCTCCGATGCTGGGGAGAGAAGACCACAGGGGGCTGAGTGAGTGCGAGGGCCTGGGAAGGCAGAAGAGTGAGCGGTAGAATCATCTTCAACTCTCCAGCTAGTATCAGCGGGGATCTTGTTCTGGTTCTTACACGTGTGTACTCCCCGGCCAATTACATGTGCATGTACTCACACATACACACATATAAATACATTCTTACAAGATGATATAAAGTAAAAATAGCAAGACAATACTAGACACAAAACTTAGCCCAAACTTAACTAACTAAATATATATAAACATAAACATAAGGTTGGCGGGAAACATATCAAACTACTATTGAGCTATCTCTAGGTATAATACAGGCTGTAGATGTCCTGGCCATATCCCATTGGGTCCTATCATTGTGGAATATCCGTACATTTTCAATCGCCAGCATCTGTTGCTCTTTGCTTGAGGGCTTCTTAGACCCAGAACAAAACTCTGCTCATTGAATAAGTCAGGAGTGCAGGATAATGAACGCTTCGCTCCTTGACCTGCCCCCAACCACAGTGGTGTACACGTCCCCAGCTCCTATGTCCTCCGTAACTCTGAGGAATACATCGCATGCTGGCTGGCAGAGGCGAAGAGCTGGTTACCTTGGTGCAGCTTGTTGATAACCTATTCGTAGTGTTTTCTCTCTGTCTCATCAGTGTTTTCTGGGATCACTTTCCATAAAAAACTACTTAGCTGGGGGTGGTGGCACACGACTTTAATCCCAGCACTCGGGAGGCAGAGGTAGGCGGATCTCTGTGAGTTCAGGCCAGCCTGGTGTACAGAGTGGGTTCTATGATAACTAGGTCTGTGCAGAGAGACTTTGTCTCAAAAACCAAACCAAACGAGCAACCAAACCTCTTTGCCATCCACTCTTCAGCTTTTAGCACAAACCAACACACACCAGCTCCCTTTTTTTGGTATCTTTTTGTTGTGTCTTTTTTCCACATTTCCCACGTTGGTTATGTGGTGTTTTTTAGTTCTTGTTGATACTTTAAAGAGCTATCTTGGGCCATGGAGATAGCTCCCTTGTTGGAGCCCCCTAGGTTTCCTAGTGGCTGTACCCAGCAGGACTGCATAAGAGGCTGATTGGGCCATGGACCTGGGTACCAGGTGACTGTAACTAGCAAGGGGGAGGTCTTTTGCCCCTCCCCTTGGCATTGTTATAAACAGACCTTTGGAATAAAGTTTGGGGCCGGTGGATAAGGACCCAGGCCCACCCGAGTCCATCTTGTGTTTTCTCTCTGTTTCTCTCCCATCTTTATTTCTAACTAAGTCTCCTCATTATCCCTCATTCCTCAAGAGTCCCCGGGGTAAATAGGTGTGGGGGCTGGTCTTCTACACTCACTAGGTGAAGTGCTTGCTTGACTTGCAAGCATGAGAACTCAAGTGCAATACCAAGAATCCATGTGGTGTGCACCCTTGTAATCCAAGCACTGCGAAGATGGAATCGGGAGCATCCCTGGGGCCCACTGGCCAGCCAGTCTAGCTTAATCGGTGAGCTCCAGGCTAACGAGAGACATTGCCTCAAAGGAGGGGGACGGCGTTCCTGAGAATCACATCTGAGGTTGCCCGCTGGCCTCCACACATGCATGTATGCATGTATACCTGCTCATGTGTGTGTGTGTACATGCACATGTAATTGGCACACACACACATGCATTAAAAACACCTCCAGGCCGGGTGGTGGTGGTGCCAGTCCCAGCACTCGGGAGGCAGAGGCAGGTGGATCTCTGTGAGTTCGAGGCCAGCCTGGTCTACAGAGCGAGATCCAGGAACGGTGCAAAACTGCACAGAGAAACCCTGTCTCGAAAAACCAAAAAAAAAAAAAAAAAAGACATCCAGTAGTTTTCTCTTTTGAGAGAGACATTTATTGTCTTATTGTTCACGGGAATACTGGCTGGTGGACCTGTGTGCAGACAAGGAGCTCACTGTTTATGGGTGACATCTATGAGCACCAGGACGGGAAAGTGGCCTCTAAAAGAGAACCTTTGTGGAATGGATGAGAAGACTGGAGGATGCCTCCTCCCGAACCGGAGGTGAGTTAGGAAGCAGATGCTGTCTCTGAAACACATTGTCCTCGGGGTTCTGTCTGGGGACCGAGGACACAGAGAAGGGGACAACAGAGAAGGCTCCGAGAGAGAAACCTGAAGTCAGCATCCTGATTTGTACAGAAACCCAGGTAGAGGCCTCTGGACTCGCGAGCAGGCTTCGAGAGCAGGTACTTTTCAAGGTTTGACTCCTGATCCTGCCATAAATCCCGCTTTGCTTGTCTGATCTTCATTCGTGACCATTCCTAGCTTACCAGGTGGCCCTAAGTGTGGTGACATGGAGTTGGCACGACCTGGCCACCAACTCTGCTCCCAGCTCACCTTCTGCCACAGTCTGGCAGAAGGAAGATGGAAGGAGGTCTTGGCCACTGAGTCAGATGGTGCGGTTATACCAGCTGCTTCTCCATGGGATGTCTTTTCTTTCTGAGATGGTTAGCTTTTAAAGATGGCTTCCCCCCTGCTGTGGGACGGTCTATATGTCAAATTGCTCTGATTGGTCAATAAATAAAACACTGGTTGGCCAGTGGCCAGGCAGGAAGTAGGTAGGACAAGGAGAGAGGAGAATTGTGGGAAGCAGAAGGCTGAGGCAGGAGAGACACTGCAGCCGCCGCCATGACCAGCAGCATGTGAAGATGCCGGTAAGCCACCAGCCACGTGGCAAGGTATAGATTTATGAAAATGGACTAATTTAAGCTACAAGCACAGTTAGCAAGAAGCCTGCCACGGCCATACAGTTTGTAAGCAATATAAGTCTCTGTGTTTACTTGGTTGGGTCTGAGCGGCTGTGGGACTGGCGGGT